CTATTTATACTATATTTTAATTTTTTGGGGGGCTCCCAAGATAGTGGGGGCTTTACGCTACAGTTTGTGTTGCTTACACGTAAATCAGGTCTTGCATCTCATCACCGAGAACATTGCTCAGGTTGTACCACAGAAGAAGGCGAGACAATTACAAGCAACCGTTTCTTCTTCGGAATTTGAACCCATGATGTCGGCATCTCTAAACAGATAACTTACAGCAACTCATTGGTTGACAATTATTATCAGTTACTTGTATCGCTTATAACTATTTCGATATTATCACTTTCTGCAAATGTTGCTAGTGATTATTTAAGATTTAAGTGACCGTACTAGTATTAATCGGTAATTTCTATGCATATTATTTTGATTTAAATTATATTACCATCTTATAAATACACTTAAAGGTTATACGCATGTCAAGTACAAATAAAGATAGGATAAAGCACATAAGAAATTACCTACCTTAGCATAAAACAAACTATTACTGAAAAAAAAAAAGAACTATAAAAAGAGATAGACGTAAGATATCATTTTTTACTCTGGAACTTCTGGATATTTTAGAAAAAAAGACTGACAATATATTTGTAGGGAATCGAACCTGAGACACGGAATGTTGGACTGATAATGTGTTCGTTGCATTAGGAGCTTATAAGAGGAAGCAATGAAGTGTTTACAACTTAGTTTCTCAGATATCTGGTGAAGATACCTGAGAAATGGTGGTTTTTCAAAAGATTTTCTATGGATCAAAAAAAGTATAAGTTAACAAAAGTTTATATAGAATATACATATGGGACTGTTCTGATCAATATAGGAAATTAATTATGTCATTATATTATGGCAAAGCACACAAAGGTTACTGCCTAAGGAGAGTGATACCTTCGCGCAGAATTTTCTAGAGGAAATTGGCTGGTACTCGCATTACATATGAAGAACTTTATGAAAATTTTCATGCAGTCAGTCAGTTCGCCAAGATTTGAATCTGAGTCGAACTACCAGAGTTCGGGGGTTTTTATGAAAATTTTCATGCAGTTAGTCAATTCATTGAGATTTGAGTCTGAATCGAACAACCACAGTTCAGTGGTTTTACCGTTCGACCACTACTGAACCTAGGAACCAATGATCACTACTTAACCTAGAAAGTTAGTTCAATGGTACTTAAAGTTGTTAAATTTAAAGACGCTAACACACCAAAAATCTATATATTCGAGCAATATTTAATTGAATGAACATTTTCATTTGTAATGATATTCAGATATAAAAAGCAACTGGAACATACATGTATTCGATTCTCGACTAACCGGGGAAGGATTAAACGGATAGTGAGTTAACCAGGATTCATCTAAAAAGCAATTGAATTTGCTTGCTTTAAAAAAAACTTCAATATGCTTGTTGTAGAAGTATGGAAAAGTTACTATTGTAAACAATCGATATAAAACAAAACTGCATACGAAAAGTATACAAAGTAAAGAAAATGCATGGGATAAGATTAGTATTATTAGATATGATATATCTGTAAATGAAGTCTACCAAATACAAAATATTCTAGGAAGATTAGAAAGAGTATTTTTTAAAAGAGAGTTTATCTCAATAAAATTGCTCAAACATTTTATTAAATGCTCTTTTTTCTTTATAAATTAGTTTTTTGATCAGTGCTTAATTGGTGCTGAAACTCTCTTTTCTCTAACACAATTTATACATTAGTTTCTTAATTTTCAACGATGTTTATTTTCCCGCTGTTTAGAGTACGTTCTCTTTGTTTACAATACCGATAAAATTTAAGATACTAAATGAATTTATTCTCCAGATTAAACTAACTGATAATTTGAGGAAACCAATCTTTAACGCAGTTGTTTATGGAATTCGATTTAAGAAAGCAATCTTCAGGCATAAGAAAAATATTGAATCAAAGGGTATCAATTATGCTGCCGAAGAATTATGCAAATATTCAGTGTCGAAGCTATAATGCTATGCATATATTGAGTGTCGAAGCTATAATGCTATGCAAATATTCAGTGTCGAAGCTATAATGCTATGCATATATTCAGAGCTATTTGTTGTTTTTAGGATAAAAGTTTTTTGTGTTTATTGAAATTTATAGCGATGTATTTTATATTCGTGTTTGTTTCCTATACAGCATTGAAGATTTTTTAATTCTGAGTCCAACAACTTTTAAATTGTAAAAATAGCTCAAGAGAAAACGGATACACAAGTAAATATTCTCCTGACGGGTCTTAGTTACATATTTTTCCGCAAAACGACTATCGGTGAGTTATCACCAACTTGGCGACTATCTGGAAGTTCTGAGTAAACACATTTTATCGATATTTTCCGAACCTCCCATAAGCCCTTGCTACGCTGCATAAATATGGTTTTAAGAGCTAGGACGAGTAATTGTTAATGAGATGTGAGATTTATCTGTTCAAGGATCACCAACTAAATTGGGATTACTCTGTTAGTGATCAGGAATTAACTATCTCTAGTAATTTTGAGCATTTTGCTCTTATTCAATATGTAGAGTCGGTTACAGCCGAAAACATCGCGCCAGAAACATCGCGGACGAAAACGTCGCGGAGAAAACAACGCAAGGCAAAAACGTCGTGCTACAAAACATGGTGGGAGAAAACATCGCAAAGAGAAAACATCGCAGTCCTAAAACATCGTGGTACAAAACATCGTCGTCGAAAATAAAGCGGCTCAAAAACTTCGCAGTTTAAAAACATCGTCGTCGAAAATATCGTGGTAAAAAATAAAGTATCTACAAATCGTCGCATGACGATAACATCGCAGACATGCTTTTCGCAGACATTCTTTAATAACTGTAAATTTATATTCCCATAATGATTTGTGAGCGCAAGATGGAAAGAAGGATAAATTTTACTTTCATATTTTTTTTATTAACTAATAAATTTTTGCTGAGAAAATAAGAAAGAAACTTAAGCATAGAAAATTAATGCAACTTATAGCACTTAATGGAATTTTAAACCGACATAGTTAACTAACAAAGGCCATTAATAAATAATTTTTGTAATGCTTTTACTGGTAATTTTTCATGAAAAGTATAAGCTTTAAGTTGCATTTAATTATCTATGCTTAAGTTTCCTTCTTAGTTTTTCAGCAAAAATTTATTAGTTATTTAAAAAATGTGAAAGTAAAAATTATCCTTCTTTACATCTTGCGCTCACAAATCATTATGGGAATATCCATTTCCAATTATTAAAACCTGAAAACAAATGTCTGCGATGTTATCGTCATGCGATGATTTGTAGATACTTCATTTTTTACCACGATATTTTCGACGACGATGTTTTTAAACTGCGAAGTTTTTGAACCGCTTTATTTTCGACGACGATGTTTTGTACCACGATGTTTTAGAACTGCGGTGTTTTCTCTTTGCGATGTTTTCTCCCAAGATGTTTTGTAGCACGACGTTTTCTCCTTGCGTTGTTTTCTCCGCGACGTTTTCGTCTGCGATGTTTTTGCCGCGATGTTATCGGCGGACACTGTAGAGTCATTAGGTATTTTTGAAAACAGGAGATGTGAAAAATGAACAACGCCTTCGCCAGGAATAGAACCACGGACCTTTGGAATACGCGCCCAGCGTGCAGACCACCACACTACGAGGGCATGCTAAGAAGGCGAGAAATACCTTATATACTCCCTCTTTTAAAGGGCGACTGCTGTTTTAGAGGACACACTCGCCAAATCCTGGGTGTGGAGAATCATCATCATGGCAAACAGCTTGAAAATGCTGCAAAAATCAATGAGGAGGATTAATATGTCTTTGAAATCTGGTAGAGATTACGTTGTGAATTTTGTTGGAAATTGTGGATACTAAGCGTAAGTCAGCCCATGAATAGAACGAATCTTGTACAAATCTTAAAGGATATAAAAGAGCTATCAGTGAAGGCTTAAAGAAAATTTGAAACAATTTAGTCTCAAAGTTTTTTTTTTGGAGTATTCTTCGAAACTACTGGGCTTTAGCGCAAGTCAACATCGTTATATGAAAGTAAAAATTATCTTACAACGGGGAAATTTCCTCCCAAGCATTTGAATTGAAAAAAAAAAAAAAAAAAAAAAAAAAAAAGCTTGGAAATAATTGCAGTAAAGTAAGCATTACATGTTTAGGTTAATGAATTACATATTTATGATATTTGAAATTAAAAAAAAAGTTGTGAAAAGACATTTTCTTCGTTTCTGCAAAATTTCTACATAGTTTAGATGAATACATATCATAGAACTTTAAAAACTTAACCAGTTGCAGAATTTATTCTTATGAGTATGCTTTACTGATAAATTTTTATCTGGAATATATCAACATATTTTGTATACCCACAGAAAGCAGTCAAAAGGTAAGAAGAAAAAAATATTAAGAATTTTAGTCTAATGTGTAGCCCAAACTGTCAAGCATCCAACAGAAATTATGATGTGGAGTTATGATGGATATATTTGAACAAAGCAGAAATCTTTATATCAAAAAGGAAATATTATCCAATACCAATTAAAAACGGTCCTAAAATAACAATTTTTGCAACAACGTCATGTCTTATTTCCTGTCGAAGACTCAGTTTTTATGCCTGATGCGACAAATGGAATCTATTTCTTTTCGAAATCTGGAAGTGGAATGAAAAATAAATGTAAACGTATGATTGAAAGTCTAATAAATTCACTTATAAAGAGTAAAACACGAGTGCAGAATATTAAACTGATATTAATTTGCGCAAAAGGTACCAAAAAAGTGTAAATTTTAATTATGTTTCACCTATTCTAACAATTTTCACCCCTCTGTTTGCATATTAGAAACAGAGGAGGAGTGAAAAAGAATTTGCCAAATAAAAATAATCTTGTCGCCAATCCACGCTTTCTTCAATCGGTTTAAGTGTTATATCTTTAATTCAAACAATAATAATACGGTATGTGTGGTTAAGTTAGTACTTAAGCATGTTAGAAGAACAACTAGCCTTTCAGAAAGATGCAAATTTTAAAACAGCAAATATTTATATTTTATCAATCATTTTATTTCTCAATATTGTATTAATATATTTTCATTCCAAATTTAATATTTCATCATAATATAATCGTTTCCAATAAAGTTTATAACAACTTGTACATTTTAAAGACTTCATAAAATTTAGTTCAATAAATATTAGGTCCAAAAAGCAGAAGAACACAGTTTTTGAAATGCAGTTGCATTGTAGTTTCCTGTATAGACTCAATGACGATTTCACAAAATATATGGCAAAAAGTTCACTTTTACAAGTAGTTTGGCGTAATCAACTCGCAGTTCGATGAACATGCAACCTGCATAACATCGCGAGATTTTTTTTGAAGCACCATAGATATCGATTCCTTTAAATTCGAAGAGAAAGATGCTAGAAATCGTGATCCCAACCAGATTCTTCATCTTCTGGTACATGGCAGTCTCTAGGATAGGTGTCGAAATTGCTACAATCTGTTGGTCCGGAAACCTGGAAAACATAATCTAATCAGTGCAAAATACCATTAAAAATGAAGAAATCGAAACATATTTTTGTTTATAGCTCTAAAACATAAGCCTAAGATTTTGGTGTAAGGTGATTCAAATCTTGGTAAATTCTTAAAAAATTATATTTGGGGGAATTTGTAATCTATAGTAGATTAATAAGCATAGAAATGCGTAAAATCATGGATAATTTTAAATTAGGAGAATTCTGAACTGCAATTTAATCACCAGACGGCGAATCTTACATAAAAAATACATATTTCATAGGAAACGCTGAATGTAGCAATGATCATTACTAAAGCATTACTCGAAGACGAACTGAAATGTATGTACAGAAAAAACAGCATTTCTTTAGGGCTGTTGACACATGCCCCTGCGTTTAAAACCGCTAGATACGTTGAATTAGCACTGTATATTTGTGATTTTAGGCTGTGTGATTAAACCTAATTCACTATTCATCTGAACGTTTAACATTCCATGATGCGATGGATTATCATCTTTAAAAATAAACTCATAAGGAATTTTCTCCATCTTCAGCAGGCGTCTTCGTGGTGTTAATGGAAGCCCGTCCGATTACCAAGTACTGGAAGATAAAGGAATCAAATCCCGACCCAGACCATCGATGATTTTTTATATTTACTATTTCAATTATCTACCATCTGAGAGTGTCTATCTACAAACTGAGAATGAGAAAGTCTACAAACTGAGAGTGTAGTACTTAAGTTAACATAAGAATGTAACATAGGCAAGAGTTAAAATTCAACTGAAATATTTATTAAAACTGCTTACTGCACAATTAAAATTTAAAAAATACTAGCCACCACTACTTGAGAGATGTGAGATACTCAAACAGTTCAGTAAGTACAGCACACCAACTTACCTTCAATTGTGAATTAACTCGGATCTAAGATAATGAGATTTTAGCCTTGCGCTTTAACAGAAACAAAATTATACTTCAAATCCACAGAACGGCGTCGTCTCAGGCTAACATGCTGTACTAAGTGGTTACGGAAATGCGGCACAGGACAGACACCATATATAATCGATTAGGCAGCTACAAAACCTGCTATGCCAGTGTCGGTTTTATACAGGTAGCCTTCAAAATAATTATTTAATCTAACTCTAATTATGTGCTAATTAAAATTCTCGGTTTGGTTACATTATGCAATGTCCATTCCATACCATCGTCGTTGCTATGGCGTGTCGATATTAAGCTGGTGCCAACCGTACGCAGTGTCGATCGTTTACCTGTGGCAACTCTGTGAAGGTGATAAATGTGTATTAATCGTCTTACATCATATCAAAATTTCCGTTTTGTCGTTTCGATCGTATTCCGGCAACCATAATATGTTGTCTAGAATCGGCCCTTTAGATTCATTTTTCTCCACTGGCCGAGTTGGTAACTACAGCTGCGGCAGATGATCGAGTTCTGTAACTGCTTGTCTCCACTTCATTTCCGTTTAGCACATATATCCTCATGAAAAGCGCTCGAATGAAGGCTGATTTGATGTGCAGTCTCAAGCAAGATCAACAAATAAGTGCTCCATGGTGATGGCGACACGCCCTACCATCGCAAATGAGGAAGGGTGCTAAGACCTTGAAATGCTTATTTTAACAAACAAGTTATAGTAACAAACTATTGTGTCAGTCGTATGTAGGTGTTGGCCCTAAGCAGTATTGATCCTATTTATTTCTGGTTCTATGCAGTGTCGTTTTTATGCTGTGTCGGACCTATGAATGTAACCAACGCTTGCCGCGCCACAGTAATTTCTCTAAACTACCACTTTTCTCGTCGTTTAATCAGTTTACAATCAAGTGGATACAGATGGAAGAGCTAGAAGGTATATAAAATAATAAATATGAAAGATATAGTTATGGGGATGCCTTATAAAGTTTATTACAAATAAACCTTACAATAGAAATGAAATAAACTCTATACACATAACTCAAAGTCATACAGTTTTAAGGGTCTAGAGATACAGATAATCATTCATACTGAAAATTACTTCTCTGGACTCGATTCTATTCAAATGTTAACAGTAAAAATATTTTACTGGAGAATCAGTATGGACTGATACTCGATTCTGCTTAATCATCCCAAAATCCAGTCCTTCTTTATAGGTTAGGAAAATTACTACTGTGTTTCTTGTTACTGTAAAGAAGACTTATGACAATGATATCGGATTAAAGCTGTAGGGTTCCCCTTATTTTGCATATCAAATTATTTTAAGTTTGTTACCTTTCCTGAACTCCTCAACTGCCCTTCGCATTTTCTCGCCAGGATGTAAATTTAATGTTAAATAAAGTGAGTATTTAAACGGGTGAATCTCTGAGTTTATTCAGAGCGTGTTTTCGCTAGCCAGCGCACGTTTCGTTGCTATCTTGCTGTTACGCTAGTACATCCCTTGGACATTTCGGACTATCATCACGCCTGTTAAGCCTTGTTGAGTCAAATAATTAGACGTAACTTAACGTGCTAATCCAGCACTATTCTACTTTAGATTTGAATTGATTTATATTATACATTTAAGTTTCACCGCAAGTTGACGGTGCCATTGTAGAGCACGATGTTATTAGTATTATTTCTGTTATTAGACACTCTCAGTTTGTAGATAATCGAAGCAAGAAATATAAAAATCATTGATGTGCTGGCCAGGATTTGAATTCTTTATCTTCCAGTACTTAGTAGTCGGATGTACTTCCAATAACACCACGAAGACACCTGGTGAAGAAGGAATTAAATAAAGGGTTGGAATTAAAAAAAAGGTTATGTTCACCCTTCTTCTGTACTGGTACTTTATTAACGCCTGTACAAGAATTTGCCAGGGTCATTGTAGGATCTAGTTTAGTTTATGTGGAATAGAAGAGACAGATCTTACAAACAAAGTTTCAAGATCACAAGGTATAAATATCAGCATCGAATGGACAATTCAAACTAACATTTTTTCCTAATAAAATTTTTAAAGCACAGTTTTGGATTATTTTTGTTATATTTTAAAACGTTTAAGTTTAATTTAGAAAGTTGTTTAAATCATCTTTTGTCTTATATCCGATCTAAGTAAGGAAGAAGAATCTGTGATTATCAGATATTAAATAGACGCAAGAAGAATCTGTAATCATCAAATTTTCATGTCATGCTGCGTAACGCAACCGGATTCCCTTCCAATCATTTTAGCTTAACAATATTAATCCTAAAATATACACAAATCTACAATTTGAGTTTCGGGTAATAACAGTAAATTGTTCATAAAGAAATGAGTTATTTATAAATAGTCAAACAATATAAATAATATGCGTAATATTCTAAATAGTTTTTAATGTTAACAATAATATTTTAGCGATAAACAATAAATATAAATATTATATACGCAGCAAATATAATAAAACAATATAAATATTTTTATTACTAACACTGATGTTTTTATCATCAGTATGATTAGCAAAAAATGCACATAATGTCATATATTCGGTATCTCCAATGCAGAACTTCTTATGGCTATAATAATTTTAAAATGAAAAGGTATAATGCAAATCTTTAGTGCTTTTTCCTCTATAATAATCTCACTTTCCCCTATAATAACCCCATTATCAATTTTCTTCTTCATTCTGAAAGTACTCTATAAAATTCCAAGAAAGTCTGAACTTTTCCTATAATAAAAACATGTCTAGACCCAATATGACGCTCTGTAGGAGTCGAATGGCTTAGAGGCGAGCCCTTTTCAATTCTCGATTATAGCTTAGAATGGCTGTATGAACTCTCGAATCTAATCGAAGACCCTGATAGAATTCTTTGCTTACCTTTGGGATTATAGGTGGAGTCAAGTTCTGATTTCGCAAACCTTCCCAGTAAAAGCTCTGGAACCACCTGTGGAAATATAAATAAAATATACTTTCGGGTAAAAGATGAAAAGTAGTTTTCTTTCCTTTGAAGTGTTTGAATACATTACGTATTTCCTTATGCTGTAAAAGATTCTGAAGGGTAGTGACATTTTGAAAAGTTTACGGTAAGTGGCAGCTGACATTCAGTACGGTAAACTTTCTCGTAAGGATTAAAAAAAAAAGATGTGCATGTACAGAGTTTACAGCAAGAATATCTACAAGTTCTATTCATAAAGAAGTTTGTAACTATTTACATAATATATTGTAAATGTGCAAAAGAAAAAGTAATTAATAAATTTTAATGCAAAGAACTGTATTGAAAGCTTCAACAGAATATCCTATTATAATTTAAGTTCTTTATCTGTTGACAGCACTAGTTAACAGTCGCTTAACAGTACTGAGAAAAAAGTAACCTTTTGTTAATTATCTAATTACCAAAGGGAACTTTTTAATAGCGATGATTTTGAGGTATGATTTTAGTTGAGCGAAGCTAACAAAAATACTTTATCGTTCCAGTTTTGCTAATCGCGAAGATTATTTGTGTTTACGTTGCCGTTTTGTAGTTAAGGAACATGTCCATTTGTTTTATATATTTCAAAATATGAAATGTATTTAGCAGTGAGCGTATTAATAACTAAACTCAGTGGCGTAACAGCCCTAATGCCTGCAGTGCCCCGAAATCTGCTTTATTGACCGTGGGTGCCGGGATGCGTAAGCATATGCCCTGAACAAGTGGTCAGCTTGTCGCAGGACCCCCAGTGTTTAGTCCCCAAGCGAAATTGGTACTCATTTTATTGACCCAAAGGATGGAAATCAAGGGATGAAAGGCTGAGTCGACCTTGCCCAGCCCGGGGAACAACCCCGGACCTGTGGTGCTGCTGCACGATGCGCTAGCCACAGCGCAACCGGGCCTCGAGTGTATTAATGCAGTTAAGGAAAATATCTGCATAACTTAGGGCAACTTGTAATTAAGCAATGTAGGCAGTTAAGTTTAGCTCCATTAACGTTCAAAGAGGAAATGTCTTAGCAAATACTAAAACTTAATAAGTGAATTATTATACATGAAGTTTTAGAGAAATTATTTCCCTTATGTACAGAGATGGAATGCAGTTGATTAATGACAGCTGTCATAAGCAAACACGGTACGGCACAGTTAAATGTTAATAGCAGTACCATTAACAAGCTATGGGAATCAGTTATTTAGAAAATCTTTATTTGTAAAAAGAGCAGTTCCAGATCCTAATTCCGATTATACTTCTGATGTTCCTTTTCTGACAGTTGCAGGAAGAAAAGGAAAAGCGAAATTGGATATCAGTTTGTTATCAATCATTTTATAGGAAGTGATGAATACTATCTTTAATTGATGAGCTGAGATGGATATTACCCCCAGTTTTCAGAAGAAAGTATAAGGACATTTTGCCAGTAAACCTTTTGCGCATGTCCTGTTGATTCATTTACACTTAAACACGTTGACTCATGTATGCATAAGCACTTCAATTACATTAGAGAAAAGAATATGCCACACGAAGTATTAAGGAATTCATTCTTGTCCAAGTACATTGAGGAAAATGATATAGCCTAGACCAACACTTTCAAAGAGATATTTAGTAAGGGTGCTAGTCGACTTGTTAGAGCAAATTCGCAGAGAACTCTAAAATGTTTGAGACAGGAGTAGACAATATGCGCTAAAAACACTTTGTAATATGTAAATTTGATCTCTTTTATGTCCTCAGACGACAATTTGTAGCAATAATTGCAATTTCTCTTGTACAGACATCAGTTTTTAAAGCAGAAGACGCGAAAAATGTGTAATGCCCTCGCCGGGTCTCGGGCTCTGGGCCTCTCGAATGTATGTCGAGTGTACTTTCAGTTATACCACGAAAATTTGCTGAAAGGAAGGAGAAAGTACCTTATATACTCCCCCTTTTAAAGGGCGATTGGGAATGAGAGAACTCAGTCGTCAATTTCTGTTTATAAATATGTTTTTCTCTTTCGTCACTATGTTTCACAAGTCAAATGTGGACGGCTAGCACCCACCAACAAAGTAAAGAAGAGCACATCGTAGTCCATCCTCATGTGTTGAGCAAAGGGAGCCAAACTCCCAAGGACAGCCTTCGAATCAAGCCATGTAACGTCCCCACAACCAAGGGGAAGACAAGATAATAATGAAACGGTACTTGCCTAGCCTGAACATAGCACCGAATAAATGATGGTTCTAGTCAATGCGAAGACATTATTTACCCAAAATGTCTAGGTTTCTTTGCACTCCAACAAATCAAGAATATAAAGTGTGCGTATTTGAAAATACACCCTAACTAACAATAGTGAAAAGACAATGAGCAATGCAAAAAGTTACGTATGCCGTTTTCTTCCGAAGTAGGGGGCTGGTCGAAACCATAAAGTTAGAGGGACAGAAGACAGTTACAGCTAATGGCTGATCACTAAGTGCCTTTCAGAAATTCTTTAAAACGCGACTATTAGGAGACTTATTTTTCATCATGATAATGCATCTTTTCATTGAGCAAGACTGCCAATCCAGTTTCTTGAACAAATCAAATCAGTGTCATATAAATTCCATATTTTCTTTTGCACTTGCTATGTGTAACATCTGGCTATTTTTTTTTTTTTATTTTTTTTTTATCTAAAATAAAAATTTTGTAGCCTTCGTTTTAATGCCGAAGGTGCAACTGTCGAAGCTGTGAAAACACATTTTTCAACGATTCCGAGAAATGGTAGCTTGGGAAAATTAGCCAACAAAAGTGCATTGATGTTGGAAAAAACATTTTAAACACATCTATGATTTGATAAGTTTAGCTTGTACTATTTAGCTGCACCTAAAAAACCGAAAGTGACCCTCGTACTTTCTTTGGGCAATCACATTGTTGATATTTGATTTTAATTTACCAAATTCTTCAAGAGGGTACAATTACATATTTCCTATTAGAAAGCATGAATAGCTATTCTAATGCGAATAGTATGAAGACAAAGGATTAAATATTTTGCGAGTTTAGTTTAGCTTCTGGTCATTGATTTAGAATAGAAATGAATGATTTGAATTTTATGTAACCTACCATATAACTGTTATAAAGCAGACGCTTCATGAAGATAAGAAAGTAGTTTGCATTTCAAACATTTAGAAATTTACGGTAAGCTTTGGCGCAAAAGTGTGGGGTTAGAATAAAATAGGAATTCATGTTTCTCGAATTGTAAACGTTTGTTTTATGCTGTTGGAATAACTCACTCAATCTGTGAACTGGATTTATTGAAACTAAAATATTGATTGGAATAAGAATCGGTGAACATTTAAATGAAGGAGAGAAAGCATGAGAAAAGAAAGATCAGTTCAAAATAACAGGGTGATGTTATATAATATATAACGCCGTTATTACTTTGCTCAATTATCAACTGCTCTATGCGGCAAATGTACCAAATATACACTCTTAGACAAAAAAAAAACAAAAAAAAAAAAAAAAAAAAGACGCATCGAGAAGATATAAAGCAAATTGGACACATATTGATATGCATATGCATACAGGTTTCGACGGAAAAATGCAAAATTTTACATTTTGGCTGTCAATGAATGAACGGCTAGTCGCTACAGCGCATCTGAATCTGCGCAAACTGGAAAGGATATTTAAGAGGAGAAATTACAATTCCAGGTCATTCAATTCTTTCACGAATTTCATTCCGTGTACTCTGGTAGACAGTAACTATGCCTCGCAGACAGGTGCTCGAACGATATGCGTAGATGTCAGAATTTGAGAGAGGTCGTGTAGTTGGCTCAAAGAACCCGGTTGGTTTTATCGGCGAATAGTTCGACACTTGAGCAGGAGCGATGCCACTATTAGACGATGTTGGCAGGAATGGGTGAACCATGGCCGCACACGGCGTCAAGAAGGAAGCCGTAGGCCTAGAGAAATGACAGAACGGGAAGACCGAGCATTCGTCAGACTGGCACTTACAGCCACAGATATCATCGATTGTACGTGCAACTAATGCTTCAGTGACCGCAAGGACCATTCATAGAAGGCTCACAGAAAGGGGGCTGAGGTCACGGAGCCCTCTTTGCGAGCCGACTATCACTGACCCTCTGTACAACGTTCAAGCCCGTTTGCAGTGGAAGTTCGGGCTCATTCGCACTAAAATGTCACTGACTGGAGTAAAATAGTCTTCAGTGATGAGTCCCGCTTTGAACGGAGCCCCGGTGACCAGCGAAGGCGAGTCTGGAGACGCCCCGGACAGCGGTGTGATACCAACCTGACTTTCTTCCGGCAGATAGGCCGACAACCAAGAGTGATGATCTGGGGTGCCATTTCATTTCATAGTAGGGCCCATTTGGTTATCATCCGTCGCAACTTTACAGCACAGCGATACGTCGACGAAGTTCTAAGGCCCGTTGTATTGCCCTTCATGTCACGCCACTCTGGGCTTACATTTCAGCAAGATAATGCCCTCCCTCACACTGCACATGCTTCTACTGCTTGCCTTAGTGCTTGCCGACATTACCTTGGCCAACAAGGTCGCCGGATCTCTCTCCTATTGAGCACGTTTCGAGCATTATGGGCAGGACCCTCGAACCAGCTCGGGATGTTGACGATCTAACACGCCAGTTGGACAGAATTTGGCACGATATCCTTCAGGAGGATATCCGCAACCTCTTTCAATCGATGCTTAACAGAATAACCGCTTGTATAAGGGCCAGAGGTTGAAAAACGCGTCACCGACTTTTTCACTTTGTAAAGCTCTATCACTTCAATAAATCATCCAATTTTTTTTCAGACTGTAATCATTTGTTTTCCTGTACATGTACATCACTTCTACTGATTTTCGTCCCATTCGGATAACTCCTTCTTGGTGGGTCTTTTTTTTTTTTTTTTTTTTTGTCTAAGTGTGTAGTTGCGCTCTTTTAGGTAAACGAGTTCGGGAAACACACAAACATTAATACCTTCCAGTAAGCGTTCCATATTTTTTTGTTTCACTGGAGGC